TTCCTAGAATCACGGAAAGGAGAGATGGAGTGGCATATCCCAAAATGACTGATGCTCAGAAATGCATGACATGTGGCTTTGAAACTTGGAAATCAGGGGAGGCTCCCGAGGAAGGTCACATTTGAATGGGGCTGTCCTCCCTTCTTCCCTCCATTCCTCATTCCCCCTTTCATCATTTGATTATAATTTATTTGTTCATCATTCATTATTCAGCCAGCATTTCCTGCCCACCTGCCCAGCTGAGGTGATGAGGACGCAGAACAACTTGTTCCCCCCACCGCCCCGGAACTTCTGGGCAAGTCGGGGAGATAGGCCCACAAGTGGCCCGTTTCAGTGAGTCGTGGTCCCCTTTGCAGGCTGGCTGGATCACAACACGTGCAGATGGTCAGGAGGTCATTTCCGGAAGAGGAAATGGCATGAGCAAAGGCCCAGTGGCTGGTGGAGCATGCTCAGAAGCAGTGAGGAGCCTGAGTGGCTGGAGAGGCGAGATGGGCAGGAGAGCAGGAAAGAGAAGTCAGGCCCTTGAATGCCTGAGACAGGACCTTTTTCCCTGACAGGGTGGGACCGTTTCCAAGGACTGGCAGCCTAAAGGGAGGAGGGTCCCCAGAGACCACGGTCCCTGACACCAGCACTGCCTCCCGACAGCCCTGTTTCATGAGCCAGTCTTCCTCTGCAGAGCTAGGCGGCTGCAGTGGACCCCGTGTTTGGGGCACCCCCAGCATCTGTCCTGTCTTCCTCTGAAAACGCTGTCTGGATTTTCTTGTGAGGCACCACCCATCCTCCCTGCTCCCTCCTTGGGGTTCTGCATCATCTGATCACAAGTGAGATCAGGCCGCTTCTCTGCTCAAGATCCTCCAATGGCTCCCACCACCCTGGAAAGACGAGATAAAATCCTGCTCTTGAACTTCAGGCCCTACAAGCCTGACCTGTGTTACTTTCAGACTCCTCCTCTCCCCTCACTCACCGGCTCGGTTCACGCTGCTCTTGTCACTTTTCTCGGGAGCACGCCAAGCCTGCTCTCACCTCAGGACCTTTGCATGTGCTCTTCCTCTGCCTGGAATGTTCTTCCTCCAGGTCACGGTATGACTCACTCATTCATTTCATTTAGGCCTGTCCTCAAATATCCCCTTGTCAGAGAGGCCTTTCTTGACACCCATGTAACTTTCAGTCCTCTTATCTTGCATATTGTTTCTTTCTTAGTGCTCTTTGCCGTCTGACATATTCCATCTTTGTGCTTTATGGTTTATTTTGCCTGGCCAGTGAGAGTACTGAATCCAAGTGCATCTAGCCCTTGGTTTAAAGGTGAGCACATGATCCAAAGCAGACCAAAGAGAACCCATCCTGGGATTTGCCCAGATCTATGGAAAGGAGAGCTCTTTTCCTGGCACTGATAAACTGATAAAATATAAAATTTTGGTTACTGAAGGGCAAAGAAACTAAGAGGAAATGGGTCCCTGAGAATTAGGTCAAGACTGAGGATAGCATTATGGGGAGCTGTAGAAGAAGCAGGAGAGAGACCTTATCATGATAATGCTGTTTGAGCTTCTGGATCCAGCCATGCCTGAAGCCGTAGCCCCTTGGAATTTTCAGTTGTATGAGCCAATCATGAGACCAGTCTGAGAGAAGTTTCCATAATATGGAACCATAGAAGTCCTTACCGATTCAGCTCAGTCCTGGCTATCCCACTGTGAGCTTTTATCTACTGAACCACAATCAGAAGAAAGCTTCAAGGATAGCAGGGGTTTCTTGAAACCATATCATTTGAGGAACTGTTGAAGTCAGTGTAGCCTGGTGGCAAAAAAACCACAGGATTTAGAGTCAGAGCAGGCTTCCTACTCTGTCCTGTATCAGTTGGGTGACCTTAAGAAACCCCTTCACATCTCAAGGCTCACAGTGGGAGTGCCCACCTCAGGGACAAGGGCATGAGATAACGTGAGTAGTATGCATGGCTCAGCATCTGGAGAACAGCTGATAGGACAGCTGGCTTAGAGGCCTGAGACTTTGGTGTGGGTGAGGGGTTAGCATACTGCTAGACTGGGCAGAAGGGGACAAGGGGGTGGGAGAGAGAGTGGGAGAGGGCAGAACTGACTATTCAGTGAGCAGACTCCAGCTCAACGTAAAAGGGAAGTTTCACCTAGTCAGAACTAGCCAAAAATGGCACGGGCTGCCTTAATAGGTAATGAATTCCCTGTCACTGGAGGCATGTAACCATTTGCAAATGGTGTAGAACTGGCTCAAGTGTTGGGCAGAGGCAGGCACTAAAGTCTCCTGAATTCCATGGAGGGTAGGGAGGCATCATGAGCCAGTTCCCTGGAGATTTCAGTTTCAGCCAAACTGCTTCCCAGGGGAATATTCAAAGCCTGACTCCACCCCCAAAGCTGTTCAAATGAAACGCTATGCTTTGTCACATCCATGTGCTTTTTCTTCAAATCTGCAGTTTCCAGTTCAGAGCGATTCCATCCCCCGGATGTACCTCAAGGCAGGGAACAAACATGTAGCAGTCAACGTCAGACCACAGAAAGGAAGGTTACCTGGTCCCCTGGCTGGAGTCTCAGCAGTTGGCTCAGGACAAGTCACATGACCCAAACAGGACAATGAGTGGCAACGCCAGAACTTTTGCTGGAATTATTTGAAAAGCAGGCCTCCCTTTCTATGGTTTGCTAAGCTTAGACAATAACTTAGAACATAAGGCAGCTTTCCTTGTGCCTCATGAGGAGAGCCTGCTCAAGAATGAAGTCAACACAGAGGAAAGTAGAACAGAGAGAGAGATTCTAAGGCAGAGGTCTGCTCTGTTGAGCCTGGAAGGTCCACAGTTTGCAGGAGAGACTTGTGGGAGGGCTGATGTGGCACCTCCAGTCTGGAGGTCTATCTGCTAACCCACCTCCGAGGAGGTCAGTGTTTTTCTCCCTTAGGGCCTCGCACTGATTGGATGAGGCCCACCCACATCAGGGAGGACAGTCGGCTTTACTCAAAGATCTGGATGTTAACCTTATCTAAAAATACCTTCCAGCAACATTTAGAGTGGTATTTGATCAAATATCTGGATACTAGCACCTAGCCAAGTTAACATATAATATTAACAATCATAGTTGGATTCCTGTCACTTGTAATAGGGCTTCCGTAGTAGCTCAGCTGGTAAAGAATCTGTCTGCAATGCAGGAGACCCCAGTTCAATTCCTGGGTTGAGAAGATCTGCTGGAGGAAGGATAGGCTACCCACTCCAGTACTTTTGGGCTTCCTTTGTGGCTCAGCTGGTAAAGAATCTGCCTGCAACGCAGGAGACCCTGGCTTCGATCCCTGGGTTGGGAAGATCCCCTGGAGAAGAGAAAGGCTACCCACTCCAGTATTCTGGCCTGGAGAATTCCATGGACTGTATAGTCTATGGGGTTGTAAAGAGTCAGACTCGACTGAGTGACTTTCACTTTCACTTGTAATAACCAAAGGTGTTCTGACTAGAAGCAGGGGAATGGACCAGGTGACCTTTCTGTCTTTTTCTGGCTCAGGGATTCCACCTGAAACAGAGGCAATAGAGTGTTTTAGAAAGAGCCCTGGATTAAGTGTCAGAGTTGAGCACAAATATCTTTCGTTGCAAGAAAAGACATAAGAAAGAAGAAAGAGTAGGTTGAAATAAAAGTCAGTGTGAAAACATCTGATTACTCCTCTCTGCTGCCTCCAAAACTCTATTTGATGGAAGATGTTTCAGCTGGAAAGATCAAGTGTGGAGTAGAAACACCCAGATTGTGAACTCAGGAAGGCCTCAGCACAGTCTCGACGCTGATACTTCCTGGCCATGTGACTATGGGGTGTTCCTTAGCTTCTATGAACCACAGTTTCCTAACATGGAAATGGTGGCAGTAGCACTGACATCACCACACCATTATGTAACTTTCAGGAGGTTGATTTTGTGAATTGTCAGGCTGCATGTAGTAGGTGCATAATACATGTGAGCAAAACCTGAAAGGGTAGAAAATCCCATGAATGCCTTCACTGATGCTATGCTATACACCACACTGTGCCAGACACTTCGGGGGCGACAGAAGCAGAAGCTAATATCTTGGCTACAAGAAGCACCGAAGAATAGAAGCATCAGGTTGGCAGCTGGAAGCTTCCTGGGGGAGGGGAACTAAAGCCGGGTCATGAATGGTGAGCAGCATTTAGACAGTGGCAGAAGGAAGGGAGGGACTTCCAGGAGGAAAAATCCCTGTGAACAATGATCTGAATTTTTTAGGTGCAAAGCATACCCTATCCTGGCCGGTGCAAGATATGTAATTAAAAGCAGCAAGAAGGTTACCTGGAAGGCCTCAAACTCCAGGCTGCGGAGTGGGGAGATGTTATGGTGGGCCCTAGGGAGCCATGGGAGATTGTAGAGCAGGAGAGGACCAGGCATTTTGCCTCCCCTGGGGCTGCAATGGAGCTGAGGAATCCACCCGAGCCCGAGCTCCAGGAGTGAGTGGCCTCTGCCCACGCCCTCCCCAGGGTTCCCAGAGGCCCAGCTGAACAGTTAGAACCACCGAGGGAAGCAGACAGCAGCCGGCTCGTCTGACACCTCGACCACATACAAGACAAGAGGCTTATCTGATGTGCCTTAATGTACAGAGTTGACGGAGCAGACAAGGGAAGTGTCTTGATTTCTCTCTTGCTTCTGGTTGCTCTGCTTTGGAAACGTTACTGTAGGGGCTGGAGTTGGGGATTGGATGGGGGCAGGTGTGAATCCTGGACTGTCATTATCGGGCCAGCAGGAGCGGCAGGGCCCGGAACTACCCCGAGGCCAGGCCCCTGATGCCAGTGTAGGCACGGGCCCTGTGAGGCTGGGATGAGCTTCCTCTCTCTGTCTCTCTCCTGCACCTGAAATCACACCGTCTCAGCTGCCACCCCGCTGGCCGAAAGCCTGCTCTGTCTACTCACCAGAACGCGGGGGAGGAAGGTGGCTCTGTGGTCCAGGCCTCAGAGGGAAGGCATTTTGGGGTGGTTTTCTGGGAGTGGATTCTGATGGAGGAAGGATGGAAAGCATGGAGATGCTAAAGGTTGGGGGACAGGATGGATCAGTCAGGGTAAGGGACGGATGGGGACCCTGGGGCTTCTCAAGCCCATCTCTGCCACCTTTGGCCCAGAGCTCCCATGCGGGTCACTCACACCTTCTATTCTTCCACATCCTGTCCCCACCACACCAGACCTTGCCACGGTCCCGCAGGCCATGGTTCACCTTAGGGAGTTTCTTCCCACCTCCCACCTGCTCAGAACTTGACTCTTCCCAGAGTACGCCACCTCTCTGCAGCCCTCCAGGAGAGCCTACCCCTCCCTCGTTTCCCCACTGTCCAGGCTGCTTCCAGACACTGCCCCGTAGAGTCCCCGCCTTGTCTCCCATGGAACCTTCTGCTCCTCTGGGCTGCTCACCTCTTCATCTGCACCCTTGCCACGGTCCCCTGGCCACACCCCTCCCACCCTTCCAGCCCTGGGCCCTCAAAGGCCATTTTCCTCTTTGCTCCAAGTCTGAAACATGAATGAACTGATGAATGGATGAGCGAATCAATGAAGATGATCTGGCTTCTGCTGCCTCCACTGAACCCCACTCACCTGAATTGCACCCCGTTAATCACCAACGCCATCCTCCTAACCAAATCCACAGTCATGTCTCAGGTTCTCTCTGCCCCATTCCCTCCCATCCCTGACATCTCCCTTCCAAACCCTGGCCTGGACCCCCTCTTCCTTCCCAGTCACCTTCCTGAGCTCACCTGCCCCTCCCCATCCCTCCGGCTCGTGGGTCCCAGCTTCCTGCCCTCCATCTGGACCTCTTCATGCCCATCCTTCCGTGGCCCTGTGTAGGAGGTGAGGCCCCCATTGCTTTTGGGCTCCAGAGCGATACCTCTACCTGCCTGCTGGACACCTCCTCCAAGAGTCCTGCTCAGACACGGCAGGACCAACCTGGACCCCTCGCACCTCAGCACCCCCCAGGTTCTGCCCTGTGTTCCACCCTATACCCCCCCACCAGACAGGCTCCAGCCCGGCCTTCTCACCACCATCCACCCAGCCTCCAGACTCCAATGCCAGAGCCACACTTGGCTCATTCTAGCCAGCATCCTAAGTGCCTCTCGAATCCACCTCCCCGCTTTCCTGTCACTTCCAGCTACTATCCTGTTTCAGGCCTTGGCACTCAAGCCGGGACATCACCAAAGCCCGGATACCTCCCTGCCTCCAGGCAGATACCTTAGGTATAGGTAAGATAGGTAAGATACCCTTCAAACCCCTTTTCCCACCCAGGTAACTCTTCCCAAATGCAAATCAGCCTCTCTGCTCCCACTCAGCTTCCCGCATGGCTCCCCGTGGCCTGCCCAGGACTCGGGGCAAATGCTGTGGCAAGACGCACTGGCTGTTCCTTCTGGATCTCCTCTGCTGTTTTGAGGCCCACCTGTCCACAGTCCAGACCCAGGCAGGACTGATGATCAAATACAGAGTTCCCAGTTAAGATAAACAGGAATCATTTTTTAGTGTATCTCAGGCGATATTTTGCCTGCTGCATTTTTATTTGCCAAGTCTGGCGACCCAAGGTCCAGAGCCACATTCACGCTGTGTCCACTGACCACTGGCCACCAGTGGCCTTGACCACGGACTGACTCGGTTGACCCTTGGCATGTGGAGCTGACCTCGTGTGGTGGGAAGGAGGGGAGCCAGGCGCCTTCTTACATTCCTCTGCACAAGCCCATTTTGGCTGCTGCTGTGGCGTGGAATACACTGTTGTTGTTGTTCATCCGCTGAGTCGTATCCGACTCTTTGAGGCCATGGACTGCAGCACGCCAGTCTTCCCGGTCCTTCATCATCTCCCAGAGTTTGCTCAAACTCATGTCCATTGAGTCAGTGATGCCATCCAACCATCTCATCCTCTGTCCCCACCTTCTCCTGCCCTCAGTCTTTCCTAGCATCAGGGACTTTTCCAATGAATAGGCTTTTCACATCAGGTAGAATACACTTTTCTGGACTAACTGCACGTGACTTATCCCCTCATTTCCTGGGGGTAGGCGTCTCTGCTCATGTGTCACCTGCTGAGAGATCCCCCAACAACCTACCTAGACCTGCCCCTCCCTCTCTCTTTTTCCCTGTTCCTGGTTCGATTTCTTCATCTCACGGGCTCCACCCAGCACGACGCCCACTTACCTGTTTGCTGTTCTTGACCATCTATCGCCTCGCTGAGGACCCAGCTTCAGGAGGACAGAGACCTTATTCTGTTCACTGTGAATCTTAGAATTGAGACTCATGCCCGGCACACAGTAGGTGCTAAATGAACACCTTGAGTTGAGCAAAGCAGTGTGGCCTCCTGCCATTTCAGCTCTCTGCCCCGGGGAGCTGCACATGAGGTGGCCGAACACACTGCCCCGGCTCCCCAAAGTGAAGGGCACCTCAGAAACCAGAGGGGACTCCTCAAACATTGGTGGAGGGCTCTTTGGAGAGCTGTCACATGGGAGTGGGTGGAAGTGGCTGCAGACCTGGGAATCTGCTGTGACAACCCCCAGACCCACGAAGACCCACGTCATCGAGCTCCTTCCCGCAGGCACCCCCCTGGCACAGCGGAGCCCACCGTGAAGGGCGGCCATCCTCCAGGACACCCAAAGGGCGAGCCTTCTCCAGTCACAGCTCCATCTGTGACCTGGGCCAGTGCGCAGAAGAGAGGGGGTTTCTTAACCTTTATTTGGGCCCTGGGCTCCTTTGGGAGTTTTATGAAAACGAGGGGCTGGAAACTACATATCTGACATGATTTTGTGTGTGGTTTTCAGGAGTCCCGAGATCCCCCAAAGCTTGTATACTCAGGGGAAGAATGCCTGTTGTGGATTTGTGAAAATTCAGCTATGACGATGACATCTGGGGAGAAGAAAGACAAACGGAGAGAAAAATTGACAGACCCTGACTCAAGAGAGAGAGACACACCAAAGTATTGACAGTGTTTAATTCTAAGTAAGAGGCGTGGGCTGATTATTACATTTTTTTTTCCCCTTTGGTCTTCCCAAGGGTTCAGCGTTGTACATGTGTGGCTTTCGTAATTAGGGAGGGAGATGACTAACTACAGGGAGAGGAGGAAGGCAGGAGGGGGGTTTGGCCCCAGGGTGGGGAGCCTGTAGGGGGCTCGGAGGGGCAGAGCCCGGCTCCACTCGGGGCTGTGGAGCAGCCCCTCACCTGCAGGGTCAGTGACTTGCCTGGCTTGAGCCTCAGTTTCCCATCCATTAAATGGGGACAAGGCTGACCTTGGCCAGCAGGTGAGGGTGACAATGGAGCGGTAGTAAGAGGCGGCTTACGGAGCACCCAGCGAACAGAGCTGAGCTCCCCTCCTGCCCTCCCCCTACCCCGAGGCAACTTCAGGCTCTTTGATCTATTTCCTCGAAAGAGGGAACTCGAACCTTCAGGCATGAGGGGCAGGGTGGGTAGGAGCTAGGGTTGGGGGCGGGCAACTTCCCCTCAGCCCCTCCAGGTTCTTGAAGGGCTCCTTCCCTCACGCCAGGGACAAGACCATTTTCTGAGGGTCCTTGGCCCTATGAGGGGCCACAGGTCAAGGGAGGGGCCTCCTGGAGTGGGCTGATGGGCAAACCTGAGCCTGTGGGGCTGACCCCTGGGGCCACGGGGACTTGCTGAAACCACCTGCCAACTGGTTGCCCCAAATCCAGTTCCCCGATGCCCTCCTGACCTTCAGTTGGGAGTACAAGTTCAGAGAGGTTGAGGTGTTCGCCCTGGATGCACAGCAGCAGGTGGCAGAGTTGCAAATTTAACCCAAGTCCTTTCCACCCGCTGCCTGGAGGGGTGCTGTCGTCACCCCCATTTATAGACACAAGAGTCGTATCTTGTGCCGTGGAGCAAATGGCAGAAGGGGTGTGAACGCAGTGCAAGTGATCTGGCTGGCAAATCCGTGCCTTTCCACGTGCAAAACTCACTTCAGTTCGGCTGTGCGCTGAGCAACATATGCCGGGTGGCCAGCCCCAGGGAGGCATTCTGGAAGCAGGGGCCCAGTCGTGTTTCACACACGAGGTCCGTGCTGTCAGGCCCTGGATGGAGCACCAAGCCGCCAGTCCAGGATTCCAGCAAGGAGGGGTCTCAGCTGCACGTTAGTTTCCTAGGTCTGCCGAAACAAACCACCACAAGCTGGGCAGCTTGAAACAGGGGAAACCTGTTCTCTCATAGTTCTGAGGGCCAGGGGTTCCAAATCGGGATGTGGGCAGGGCAGTGCTCCTTCCCGAGGCTCTCGAGGACAGTCCCTGTTAGGTCTCGTCCGGCTTCCTGTGGGGCCAGCGTTCCTTGACTTGCGGCCGCATCCCTCTGGTCCCCGCCTCCTCTTTTCCGAGGGGCCTCCCTTTGCCTCAGACACCCGTGAGACGGCCCACTGGATAAACCCAAGTAACCTCAGCTCAAGATCTGTAATTTAACCACACCTGTTACCATATAGAGGCGGGCTTCAATGGTAGCTCAGTAAAAAATCTGTAAAGTAAAGTAAAGAATCTGCCTGCAGTGCCAGAGACCCCAGTTCAATTCCTGGGTTGGGAAGATCCGCTGGAGTTGGAAATGGCCACCCATTTCACAATATTCTTGCCTGGAAAGTACCATGGGCAGAGGAGCCTGGAGGGCTACAGTCCATGGGTTCACCAAGAGCTGGACACAGCTGAGCATGCATGATCGTTACCATACAAGGTCACGTCCTCTTTTTGCCGTGTAAAATAACCTTCACATTTTCCGGAGACTCTTCTGGGGAGTCACCACTCAACCCATGACAGGCAGGCAGGTCTAGGGTGAGATGTTGGGACAGGCTGTCCCCTTCTTCAAAAATGTGGGGCTGTCCAGGGAGACCCCTCATGGAGGGTATTAGTCAGGGGACAGGTTCAGAGGAGACAGCCTTATCTCAGGGAGGTAGGGACGGGGCCCCAGGGCTAACCTTAACACGGGGTGTGAGGAGGGAGGGAGGGTGAAGGGTCACCCCATTCTGTCCTTGGCGACAGGGGCTCCAGCCTGCACGCGTGTGTGTACACACAGACCCCTTCAACTAATTCTCCGGAGAAAACCTAAAGCGTGCACATCTGGCCGTGTTACACCCCCGCCCCAAGACTTACCAACACTCTCTTCACCTCTGGTTGCCTTTACATCTTTCCAGAGCTGTCCCCACCTACCTGTTCAGCCTCCCCTCTCCCTGGGCCTACAGCCTTTATCTGCAGCTCCCAGGTAAGCCTGGCCCCTTGCCCCCCTCTGGTCCCTGGCCCGTGTTGTGCCCTCTAACTGGCCCGCTCCCCACAGACCTCACCCCTCCCCTCGGGTCACCACGGCTCCTGCCTCTGTAAAATGTCACTTCACCCGTGGCTAAAATGAAGTAGTTATTTGTGAAGTTACTTGTCAAATGTCGATTTCCCCCTTCAGCCTCTGAGTCCCTTGAGTGGAGAGATCATGCCTGCTGTGTTAACCGCTGGGTACTCATCACCAGGCATAGAATGTGACACATGGTAAGTGCACGATGCGCAACTCTTGAGTAAATGACACGAACGTCGAGCCCCACAGCCCAAGCCTTCTCTTCTTCAGTATTTCAGAAAAGGAGGGCCCATGATTCCATCCCTTCTTTGGTCACGCGATCATGGATTCGTTCGTCAAACATCATGTGTGCTTGCTTCTGGGATCTGGAGACACACTTCCTGTTTTTCTAAACTCACAGAGGGTGGAGGGGGCCAGACATAGGAATGACAGCAGCTAGAAATACGGAGCGAGCAAGGAGGCTGGATGACAGAGCAGTTTCGTGGAGGCGTGAGCTTTCTACGGACAACAAGCAAGGTCTGGGGGCAGGCAGGCCTCTCAGGAGAGATTATAGGAGGGGCCGAGTTATGGAGATGTAAGGACACCACACCTAGCCTGGAAGGAAGATGGAGGGACAGAGCAGGGGGCTTCCTGCAGAAAATGAGTTGTTGAAAGCATAGGTGGAGTGCTGGCTGATTCTCCATCTGCCTGGCTGATAGAGACAGCCTTCCACCAGACAAGGAGGAGCACGGGGATTGTTCTGAAGGTGAACAGCATATTAACAAACAGAGACATTATTTGCCAACAAAGGTCCATCTCGTCAAAGCTATGGTTTTCCCAGTAGTCATGTAGAGATGTGAGAGTTGGACTATAAAGAAAGCTGAGCACCGAAGAATTGATGCTTTTGAACTGTGGTGTTGGAGAAGACTCTTGTTGAGTCCCTTGGACTGCAAGGAGATCAAACCAGTCAATCCTGAAGGAAGTCAGTCCTGAATATTCATTGGAAGGACTAATGCTGAAGCTGAAACTCCAATACTTTGGCCACCTGATTCGAAGAACTGACTCATTGGAAAAGACCCTGATGCTGGGAAAGATTGAAGACTGGAGGAGAAGGGGACGACAGCGGATAAGATGATTGGATGACATCACCAGTTCAATGGACATGAGTTTGAGCAAGCTCTGGGAGTTGGTAATGGACCGGGAAGCCTGGCATGCTGCAGTCCATGGGGTCGCCGAGTCAGACACAGCTGAGCGACTGAACTGAAATCCAACAGTCAGAGAGAAGAGTGACCCAGGACCTAGCCTGGGGACAGGGTGGATGACTGTGCCCCTCACAGAAGGACAAGTAGGTTCTGAAGAAGTCACTTTGGGAGCTGTGGCATTTGCGTCAGCTGTGGAACCTTTGAGTGGACTACCTGGGAGATGCTTGGCTAGTTCCACATGTGTTGGTTTTTCCCCATTCCCCCAGCTCAGATCTGCTCGCTACCTTTCTCCACCCCTGCTCCGCGCACCTGGAGGCGCCATCGGTGACCTCCTTGCTTGGCTTTGGCGCTCTCTGACCTCCCTGCTGGGTTCAACCAGAGGGAGGCGCTGCGTCCTCACCTGGCCTGCATTCCTCCTGTGAGGCACCTCCTTTCCCAGAGCTACTGGGTCCCCGCGCCGTCCCCTCATCCCAATGGCCCATTGCTTCCCATTGCTGCTGGAAACCGGAAGCGTCGGCATGCCTTCCTGGCCCCCCTCATCCTGCCCCGCCGCCACAAAGCTCCGCTGCCTTCAGCACTCTTCAGTCGAGCCTTTGGGGGGCGCCACCTGCTTCCTGCAGGACCCTGACTGGTGGGCCCTTGCAGGGACACCCTGGGCTCTTCATTCTGTTTCACTGGCCTCATCGTCTCGTGCTAGTGCCTCTCTGACTCCATGACTTTAACGTATCCTAGATCCTGATATCAAGCAGGATGAGCCTTCTCTCTTCCCTCTTACAGAGCTGTCTTGTCTTTTCCGGGCCACTTATTCTTCTGCAGAGCTTTTGAAACAGTTCGTAAAGTTTTATGGAAAAATCCTAGAATCGCTAATATAATTTATAAATGAATTTCGGGAAGAACTCCCTTTTTTAAAATATTTATTTTTAATTGAAGGACAATTGCTTTACAGAATTTTGTTGTTTTCTGTCAAACCTCGACGTGAAGAACTCACGTGTTTTAAAGCCGAGTCCTCCCAAACACAAACAGGATAGATCTGGAATCCTTACTTCAATCAAAATCTTCCCCACAGCCTGGAAAGCAGAGGAGTGGGTTGAAGGCCTGTGTTTACCTCTCCTTCCCAGGTGTGGGGTGCTGCTGTTGGCTAGGTGATTGGTGCTGGTGTGTTTTTTGGTTTGAGGGGTTATTTTAGGTTATCTGACTACAAGGTCAGAGAGAAACAGAAAAGATAATAGTAGCAAAGTGTAGGAGCCTGGAAAGCATCTGTGGGGCAAGCCACCACCCGCCAAAGCCTCAGGGTCTGGGCACAGGAGAGACATGCAGAGATGCGGGTGGGGAGGGGCTGAGAACAGAAAGAATGTTTGAAAGAGTGGTTAGGAATCCCCCTTGCAATGCGCGGGACATGGGTTCGATCCCTGGTCACATGGGTTCAATCCCTGGTCGGGAAACTAAGATCCCACAGACCACGGAGCAACTAAGCCCGCGTACTGCCAACTGTGAAGTCCAAGCACTCTGGGGCCCGTGTACCTCAACTGGGGTCCGTATACCGCGGTGAAGATCCCGAGTCCCACAGCTAACTCCGATGTGGCCAAATAGATAGATAATAAATACATGGATAAGGAAAGTCTATAGGAAGCAGTTAGACTTCCAGATTCTCTCTCCTATCTCAGTAGGATACTTGAGGTTTATTTTTTGGAGAGAAAAAAAAGCAGAGGGTCTCTAGACAGGTGGGGACCAACCACATAAAAGGCAGAAGCTATGGCATAAAAAATGAAGGATTAAGAGAATGCTACGTGTATGCATTCACAACCCTCTTGCCCCCAAACACTGGCAGTCAGTCCAGTACCTTCTAAGCACATTAGGATAGTCTACCCCAAGGAATCTGAACAGACCAAGGTGAAAGATCTAAAGGTACTGGCCAAGAGAATGATCTAGTCTGATCCCTCTATGAAGTCCAGAGTCGGGCCGTCCCACACAATTACACAGAACTTCCAGTCAGAGCTTAGTGCTTGCTATTATAAATAGAGCAGACAGCCAAGGGTTATCAGCCATATGAAGAAAACCTCTACCAAGAAAGATAAGGCAAAATTTAATGGAAAAATAAAGCAACTCAAAAGAAACACATTAGACAGGGAGATGAAATATGTTTTTAAGTCTATAATTAATATCTTCAGAGGGATAAGAGAAGGTACTGCATCTATGCAGTAAGAATAGACAGGAAATGTAATAATTAGAAAATGGAAAAGTACAAATTCAAATTACTATAACAAAAATGAGAATAGAGACATGGAAAGAAAAAGATGAAGATACCCACCCTTGAAAAACTACAAAAACCCAACAGAAAATAAGAGAGGATAGAATTTTAGAATTTATGAAAATCTTAAATTATTTATAAATTTGGAAGCCTCAACAGAAAGAGAGACTAGTGAGAAAGAAAAAATGATCAAAGGAAAAATTCATGAAAACTGCCCAGGACTGATCACAATAAAAGTCTAAGTCATAGGATCAATGGAATGTCCAGAATAATGGATGAAAATAGAACCGTACCAAGGCATGTAATTGTGGCATCTTAGGACATTTGGGACAAAGAATATCGTCAGAACTTTCAGGGAGAAAAAAGATCAGCTATTTTCAGAGATTAAGAATCAAAATGTCTTTAGACTCATCAACAGCAACATAAGAAGCAAGAAGACAATGGAGAGATAACTTTGAAGAGAGAAGATTATTTTAACTATGATTTCTATGCCAGCCAAACTACCCATGAAGTATGACTAATGACATAATCAAATGCTCATAAATAAATCTACCTCTTATGCACCCTTTCTTAGGAAGCTACAATTAGATGTGCTCCATCAAAACAAGGAAGTGAACCAGGAGCGAGAGGGAGGATCCAGAAAACAGAGGCTCTGGTGGAAGAGGAGCAAAGAGAACTCTAGGATAACAGTGTAGAAAGATTTCTGGTTGATAATTGAGTAGCAGACCTGGAGAGCAACCAGTCCAGACTGGAGCAGGTTAGAGGATTCCAGAGGAGAGGACTCCATAAATGAATAGACGCTATTGAATTTCATAATAGGAGATGTGGACGATTAGTGGAGAGTTTAGGAATACATTTGTGGTAAGCACACAGAAAATTATGCAAATGAAAAGCTAAACAAATTATAACTCCAGGGAAAACAAAAGGCTATGCAATCAAGGAAATGTGATCAGAGCATATTATATGACCCAGCTGGGAAAGCATGTACCCAGCTGAAAAAAGGAAATATTAACAGGTCATCTAACCAAAATAACTACTATCCTTAAGGATAGAAGTGGTGCTTGGTAAGAAGTTCAGGTAAAAGGAGCTAAACCCTCTTCCATGGGGAAAGTCAGTAGGTAATGTCTAAAACTGAAGAATCACACTGAGCTTGGTGAACATGTTATTTAGAGAAACAGAAAAAAAGGGAAAGTGTTAGCCACTCAGTCGTGTTCGACTCCTTGCAACCCCATGGACTGTAACCCTCCAGGCTCCTCTGTCCGTGGGATTCTCCAGGCAACAATACTGGAGTGGGGAACCATTCCACTCTCCAGGGAATCCTCCCAAGCCAGGGACTGAACCCAGGTCTCCCACATTGTAGGCAGACTCTTACCTGTCTGAGCCACTGGAGAAGTCCCTAAAGAAATAGAGTAAGTACTAAAAGTTGAATGTATTTTTCTATGAGGATTGGTGAAGAGTGCCTTATAGAAGTACTTGACCGTTTAAGTAACTTTGAGGGGAAAAAAGTTTAGATAAAAACTAATCAACAAAGCAGACTTCTTCAGCCAAAGTGATGGAGAACAGGCTCTCCTTCCATTCAGCCTACTCCCTGGCACCACCCTCCTCAAGGGCACCCTGAGGCACTGACCCTCAGGGCTTTTAACACTTTTTAAAAATCAGGATCCAAGGGGATTGCTCTGGTGGTTCAGTGGCTAAGACTCCGCACTCCCAATGTAGGGCACGTAGGTTTAATCCCTGGTCAGGGAACTAGATCCCACATGCCACAACTAAGATCTGGCACAGCCAAATAAATAGCATATTTTTTTCAAATGTCCAAAATGCTGAAGCATGGATAGGGGATATTCAAGCTCTGGGATAGGCAGGGAGTGATTTTGTGCCACATCTACTGTGTCAATTAAATTACATCTCAAAAGATGCTTGCTCTTTGGAAGAAAAGCTATGACTAACCTAGACAGTGTATTAAAAAGCAGAGACAGTGTATTAAATTGCCAACAAAGGTCTGTCTAGTCAAAGCTATGGTTTTTCCAATAGTCATGTATGGATATGAGAGTTGGACCATAAAGAAGACTGAGTGTCAAAAAACTGATGCTTTTGAACTGTGGTGTTGGAGAAGAGTCTTGAGAGTCCCTTGGACTGCAAGGAGATCAAACCAGTCCATCCTGGAAGAAATCAGTCCTGAATATTCATTGGAAAGACTGATGCTGAAGATGAAACTTCAATACTTTGGCCACCTGATGCGAAGAGCTGACTCATTGGTAGAGACCCTGATGCTGGGAAAGATTGAGGGCAGAATGAGAAGGGGAGGACAGAGGATGAGATGATTGGATGGCATCACCGACTCAATGGACATGAGTTTGAGCAAACACTGGGAGTTGCTGACAGACAGGGAAGCCTGGTGTGCTGCAGTCCGCGGGGTTGCAAAGAATCAGAGACTGAACGACTGAACACCAAGAACTACTGTGCCAATACATCACTTCCTGAGGTCATGACAGCTCAGAAGGGTTGAGAGGATACTGAGGAAGATGTCTTTGAAATACGAAATCCTTATCTCCCAGAACCAAGAGACGCCTTAGAAATCACACACCCTCCCCAAAGTGTTCCCCTAAAGCACAGATTGGACATTTTCTGGTCTTGAGTGACCTTTGTTCAGGGGGGTGACAAGAATTGTTGAAGGGTCATCATTCGTGGGATAACCCTCGATGAAGGAGAGACTGGAGCAGGTAGATACATACTCCAGCTCCCTGGCCTCTGGCGAAGCACTTCTGCGTGGGTTCCACCCACTTCCTCAGAGGGTTCCCAGAGGGGAGGAGCTCCAGGGGTCCGAGAAGCAAACCGCTGCTCCTGCACCCTGTATGGGCTGCCTTCCCTTCCCTGTGCCTCTTCCCCGATCCCTCACTCCTGCTTCCTGGTGCCATCCCTCAAGTAAACCGCTTGCACTTATTCCTTAGGTTCAAGGTCTGTCTTTGGAGGAACCCCAAAACTAAGAGAGGGCTTCCGAGGTGGCACTAGTGGTAAAGAACCCGCCTGCCAATGCAGAAGACATAAGAGACATGCGTTTGGTCTCTGGGTCGGGAAGATCCCCTGGAGGAGGAGGGCATGGCAACCCACTCCAGTGTTCTCGCCTGCAGAATCCCATGGACAGAGGAGCCTGGTGGGCTACAGTCCCCAGGGTCGCAAAGAGCCAGACACGACTGAGTGACGTAGCACACACACACTCAAACTAAGACAGTGATCTCACTCCTACCTTTTACATACAAGGAAGAATGACTCTGAGAGGGGAAAAGAACTTGCTTGATTTCACACGACAAATTATTCACAGAACCTCACATCATGGAAAGAAAATCCAGCCACAAGTCAGGTGGTGTTGCTTTTTGGCCTTA